CTTTGTTTCAGTATGGAATTTTCTCAAAATTATTTTTTCTATTTAATTTTACATTGTCCTTCTATTAGCCCTCTAAATCCGAATTCCTTATCGTGTCTAGAAAACAGTTACATGATTTAAAATTATCCAATATTAACCTTCGGATACAAATTAATAATTAGTTTACTATTTGTATATTATTTAAGTATTATAAGAATAACAGGTTTTAATAAATAATTTGTAATAAATATCTTTTATATAAATTTCTGAAAATTAGGAAATATAACTTCCATAATAAAGTAATTATACATCACACCAAATCTTTGTTATAACGAAAAAAATTTGAAATAGAAGATATGTTGTACATTTCCAACACAATGTAACAAAGGGTTAATATAATGGAAAAGAAAACACGTTCCTGTAAAAGTATTGTACATTGTCCGTAATATAAAATTATAAAATGTCTATATTAACACATATTATATATTTATATTATACTATACTATATCCGCTACACTAATACTATAAAATAATTAATAATAACACTAGTAAGAATGAAACTATAAACTGATAATACTAATAGGAAATTAACATAAAGAAAAAATAACTGTGTAATATTCGCTGTGTGTCACCTCTGATTGCTTTTCCGAAACTGAAGACAGCATCCACGATGGAAAACTTACATTGCATTTGTATACAGTGTCCCAGAAAGAGTTTGAGCGGTGAGCGTCGTACTAATAATTTTCATTATTTACTTCGTTTCGGGAAAAGAGCAGCTAAAGTTGATAGCTAGGTATATAAAGTATAATGTTCCCAAAATGAATGTACAAAATATCAAGGAGGTACTTTTTGGGCTTTTTTGAGAAGTCTCATCAATGTTGATAAACATTCAAATTAAAAATTAAGAAAATTAATTGCTATTTTTTAAAAATTGTTTCGCCTATTTTAAAGCTATTATAATGTTTAACAACACTTATAAAAATGAAATGAAATATACAAATATTTTATGAATTACGTTTGTTTAAAGAAAATTCACCAAAATCTAGGCGAACTTTTACTCTCAATTTAGAAGAAAGATTAGTATACTTATTAAAAGTAGAGATGTTTTTGAAATCTTAGTTTCTTTTAGATCAGTTTGATATATAGAACATCATGATTTAAATACTATGGATATTTGATTTTTGTCCATTGTACGCATAAACACTGTAAAGCGCTGTAATTTTTATTTCTCTGTTGTACTAATTAATACGGCAGTACATGCTAGTATTAATGTATTATTAGATGTACAAATTCATTCGGTGCCTTTACACATAATAATAATAATGATTATTTCAATAATTGGAATTACTATGGCTTTTCAAAAATAAATCTTTAATTAAAATAAAGAAAAGGCACCGAATTAATTTGTATTCCTAACAGTAACAGAATTAATTATATTAGAGCATATTATATTTTATATTATAATGTTATTGATTTTTTATTAGCTAATTATATAATTAATGATCTTAACACCGAGACTGTGCAGAAATTAAATTAAATATTTTCCAAATCTGGGTTTCGGGCATTGGCGTGAGTGGGACTTCGAAGATGGGCCACGTCCCTTAGCTTTATTAATAGTATGTCAAGTGTTTAGTGCCTATTTTGTATTTCGCGAAAATTTATGAGAGAATTTCAGAATCTTAGAAGCTTAAAATTTTAGGATTTAAGAATTTCAGAATTTCAGAATTTTAGAGATTTAGAGTCGTGAAATTTTTAAATCTGAGAATTTGGGAATTTTCAATTCTGAAATAATTTTATAAGTTAAAAAATAAAATTTTAAACGACCTGTAATGAGATCATTCACCCCATATGAATAAAATTGGAACAGAGATTGCTGGCGGTTTGTGGTATATGCCTCGAAACTGGTTCAGTGTTTTAATCCTTTCCTTTGTCAAACGATCCATAGCCCGACACGTTGTTGATTATACGTTACACTGTCCAGGCTATTGGATAATTATTTACGTCTCTAGAGAAAGCAGAGTTCAGAGGATCGCTTTGATATGGAGAAACTAATTATTAATTAAATCGATCGCGTATGACGCGCAGCTCGTTAGTACACAGGTAGCTTGTATTCCCTCGAATACATGATCGCGTTATAGAGATTAATTAACGATCACGACGGGTATCGATGCTTGTAGAATTTTTTTTTCTCCACAGAAACCAACCAGGTGTCGAGCATTATCGATACACCCTATATGTGCATTATTCTCCCTTGCGCAATATTAAATTGGATATCAGACAAAAAAAGGGTCTCGAGATTCTTATGAATTATGTAAAATTAAGGTTACAATAATTGGATTATTAAAAAATTTATCATATTTTTTTAGAGTAATGAAGAGTACTTGTATTATCATTTAATGTCTGTTTTAATAAACAAAATTTGTGGACCTTAAAGAATGTTGATATCGTTAAGGAAAATTCGATGAACGTTAATGCAAAGGGATGAAATTCGATAAGGATATCGTGTACAAAAATATGCTTGATATTTTGGCGCGGCATAGTTCAAGTTTCATCGTTAACGAGACATAAATTGGAAGTATATCGGTGTCGGCATGTCATCAAGGGGAACATTATGCGAGTTTCGATGCAGATTCCAGCTTACCTAGTCTCTTTGTGCCTCAAATCTTGCCACATGTATCGCATATTAATCTTAGCGTTAATATTAATGTGGAATGCACTTAAAATGGATGAGAGCGACGCATAATATTGCAGTACGATACTCTCAGATTATAATAACATTGGAGATCTTACGTTCTTGGCCATCCTTAAAATGTAGAATATATTTTTTTTAAAAGAAACATTAAAAATTGTATTTTTTACATTTTAAAAGTTAGTTACATGAAATATAAAAAATATGGAAGTATTCTTGGTTAGGAATAGTAAGCAATATCTACGTTGAATTCTTCGTTGAAATCTACGTACAGCTTACGTTGACCCAGATAGCACAGAAACATTTCATGTATGTCCATCGAACGTCCATGCTGGACGTTTCGTACATACGGAGAATGTCCCCTTAACATCCATATGTTCCCTATATATCCTGGTTATGTCCTTTAAAGATCCTAGGAAGGTGCCTGTTAAAAAGTGGAACGTCCAGGGGACGTCCTGTGCGGACATTCTCAGGAAGTTTTCTGAACGTCCTAAAGTAACATTCTCTGTACGTTGTGTGAACGTTTACAAAACTTTGCAGAACGCTATGCTAACGTCTTGAAAGGCGTACTGTGAGTTGCATTGAACTTGTCGCAGTGAAGTTGGCTACAAATTCACTACGCATTTACGCCGCGTCGGTGAGTGAATGCGTGGCCAACTTCACTGCGACAAGTTCAATGCAACTCAGTGAACGTATTCGCAACGTCCGAAAGTAACATTCTCTGTACGTTGTGTGAACGTTTATAAAACTTTGCAGAACGCTATGCTAACGACTTGAAAGCCATATAAGGAATGTTTTCCGAGCATTTAAAATTACAAAACGTTTTCTGTACTTTTTTTTATAATCTTTATTTTTATTACATATCTATTATTTATTTTATTATTTCTACTAAAAATCTTTTACAATGATCTTGTTGCGTTCCGCAGCTCTCCTTAGCCAAGACTGTATGGACACCTCCGTTTCTTTCTTATCTTTGCACACTTTTGATGTTTGTGCTGCGTTACTTTTATTTAGAAATTCGTTCAGTGTGAAACAAGTAGCAGTGCCGATATTTAATAAAATAAAATATAATCGAAAAGTTTAATTTAAAATTTGTTAATAATAAATTCAAGGAGTATGAATAAAAAGTGCGACTCAATCATGTGGGTTGCTATTAGTATCTACTGCATTTCTTGTGCTTCAAGGTTTTTGATTTACATAATTAATTTTAGGTTTAGGTTAGGTTTAGTTTATAATAAAATAAACTATACTCACAATTGTTTGCAACACTATCAACACTTACGAGTGTTGTAAACAATTGTAAGTATAGTTTATTTTATTATAAACTAAATCTGAACTTAACCTAAAATGAACTAAATTAAAAACTACGAAGCACGAAGAAATGAAGTAGATACTGATACATAGCAACCCATATGATTGAGTCTCAGTTTTTATTTACACTCCTTGAATTTATTATTAACAAATATTAAATTAAACCTTTTTAAACTATTTTCTATTTACTTCCTCTCACTTTATTTACATTCATATGGTTAATTTTAAGTTCGGTTTAGGTTTAGTTTTAATATAAAAGTACTAAGAATTGTTTGCCATATTTTTTCCAATGACATTTCACATTTTTAAATAACGCTTTTCAATATATTAAAGTTTGAAAAAAAAAATCAGAAATACCGACCAAAAAGTAAGATATTACTTCACCGATTTTATTAATACCTTTCCAGCTGATAAATTATAAATTCTTCAATAGCAGGGTTTGGCTCAATCGAGACCCAAACCTATGAAACATACATATGTTAAATGTACAATTTTTGAACGAAGGAATCTCATATATTGGAAGTATAAAATTTAGAAAATGAAAATAATATGAAATACAAAATTAGATTAAACTTGTGGCTTTCTTTATAGTCCGCCGCCGTTCTAGGATTAAAATACAATCAAACGAACGAATGAAATGATTGCCAAATCCACGACTGCTTAAAGTATATTTACCTAGAAAATTAGCTTGATTTCTTCAACTAAATGATTCAACTAGGATCAAGTTTGAAAAGTAGTCAGTCCCAAGGAGACCCACGGTATCAGCGGGGTGGTACCAAGAGACGTCGAGGGGAGAGGAGTGGTCGTTATACTAATTTGGCGGGTTCTCGTTAACGACCCCTTTGAGGTCATAACTTTTGCCGCAAGTCGGATGTGTGTGCGTGGCTCGCTGCGCTTTACGTGTTTTCTATCTCCGTTCCTCTTTCGCCCCACCACGTGACCACCTTGGCCGCTGTTCAGTCAGTTGGCTCCTTGAAAAGCGTCGGGACGCTCGACGTCGCGTCGCGTCGCGTCGCGCCGGCGAGTCGTGCTTGAACCGCGAAGTAGGAGAAGTGCGCATGCGCGGCCGATCGGCGCGCGGTCTTTCAGTTAGGGCCAGTGGTGGGGATGAGAAACGTGCTCATCACCCTCGAGGAGCGCCTCGAGAGACTCGCAATCAGTACGCGCCGCGAGTTTACCGTGGGTGGTTGTGTCTCGTGGTGACTTTCAGAGGTGTTCGCGCGTCGCGTTAACCCTCGACGTGCCACTTTTCGTCATTTAAATACTCAAGGATTATTGAAAAGTAATTTAACAAAAAAATAAGAACATTCGTTCAGTGGCGAGAAGGATAAGAGGATGGCTAAGAGAAAAACGGTAGTGATCGGTTCGTTGGACTGTTAAAATTCGAGGAATTCGAAGCAGGTCCTCGGAGAAAGTAATTACGTTAAGAGTCACCAAGTATCCCGAGTCGAAGAAGGGTATTCGAGCAGCCCCATCCCCTGTTCGTTCTTAAGGGAGGCACGTAAAGGACACGGCTTCTAGCTAGCTGACGTCATCAAAAACAAACAAGCAGATCGAAGATCCTCGGGAAAGGAGATATTATATCCCTGGGCTGAAAGACGGAAGACAAAGAGTCGCAGACGAGACCCGTGCCACGGATAGAAAAGGGAAGAGAGCCATTCTAAGGACAGAAAAGAAACTGAATGAAGACGAAAGGGAATACAACGGTTTTAGAGTAAAGAATTGGATTTCTAATTAGTCTAATTAATTGTAATTTATCATCGAATTCAGTTCTCCAACAACCTTGCTGCTTTTTCCTAGCTGATTGTTTAAGATTGTCAATTGCTTGAAACTCCCTTGAAGAGTTCTTCCAGGATGATAAGACGCAGCAGGACGACGATGAACGTCTGTGGATCTCTGCTCGACTGATCGCCACGGAATCGCCCATAGTTCCCGGAGAACGAACGAGAGAAGGCTTTTTCTAAGCGAGATTAAAAAAACGATGTCCGACAGGAGCAAGTGAGGATCCCCTTTTTTGCGTGTTCCTTTTTTTTTCTGTGCTCGACACTCGACAGAGGAGAAGATGTGCCTGCGACACTTGCTGCTCTGCCTTCTAGGCGTCATCCTCATCGTGAACGGTGAGTTTCTTTTTTTATACAAGTTTCTTATGACACCCCGGAAACGCGGAAAAATACAAGGGTGGTTTACCCCTCCGGCTGTGGTAGACCGATGCTGCTGAATCGAAATTCGCGTATCGCGTTGCTTACCTGACAAAACGCCTCGACAGTTTTTGGCTAGGTTCCTTGGAGAGGTGTCCTGTCGGTTCTACGTCTTTCTGGAAACTTGCCCTTTCGTGGGATGGTTTTGTTCCTCATGATTTACCGAGCAAACTTTCCAACGCGGATATTTTGCGACTATTCCTCGCGATGATTTACCACTGCATCCGGGATTGTTTGAATGGAGATATCGTGTGTTGTTTTAGGACTGCTCGCTGAATAGGGTTAACTTAATGCATAATAATTGTGCAGTGCTTGCTAGTGATGAATTTTGTAGGACGTTGATTACTGTGCAGATTACATCAGATTAACGTCTTAAATTATACCTCGTGGTATATTTTTCTACTTAGATTTAATCTAAATAAAAATTATTCTGCAGATTGCAGATAATAGTATATGATAGAATAAGGTGGAAAAAATGATAAAAAACAATTTACACACGTGGCACACGTCCCACGGAGGGTTAGAAATGTATGTGCCTCAGCAGGGTCAAAAGGATTAACATCTTCAATATCGTGGGAATTATCGGCTGTAGACACCCTACCTAAAAAAAGAATACAAAGGTTGTCAAGAATAGTGTTCCTATGTTTTAGAAACATTCGATTCGCTTAAACGCGTCCTTACGATTTGAACAAACGAGGCAAACAAACTAAGCAACCAGCACGTGAAGTTGCAAAATATTTACATTTACGAGTTCGTGTCTTGTTGCTCGTAAATTTAAGCACGTTTATTGTCGTTAATTTGTGTATTCGCTTGAAACATTTAATAATGGTTAATTGATAGAGCAATTTGACGTATTAAATTGAGGCGGATATTTTGTTTGACTAAATGAAGAAACGCGAACTCGACGGTGCCATAAAGTGGCAAGGAAGTTTGGAGCTAACCAGCTTCTAACCGAAACTTCTTGCAAACTATTTTTTTTCCCCTCGACGTGTTTAACTCTAAATTACTTAATAAACTTGGAGCAACAGGAAGCCTGCTTAATCTGTTTTTACGGGGTGGGAATAGGGTTAAATCCTTCGACTTTCAGCTGATAAAAAACCTAACTCCGTTAACAATAGAATAAACATGAGGGCTAATATTCGTTTTTAGGCACTACTTTTTTCAACTTCAACTTGATAGTAATCGTATTCGACTAACAGAATTAATTACTTAAGGTTAGGCTAGGTTAGATTCGGTTCGGACTTAATTGCTACATCTTAGATAAATTTTAAGTGCAAAAGATAATTTTCGCAGAACACTATCAAGGCATAAGAAGGTAAAAGAAGATACAAAAAGCCAATCAGGCACAGTGAACAATTTACATACTCACGAAGAACTGTTTAGTCAGTAATATCAACAGTCATAGTCTTGATATCAATAAAAACTAACTCTTTAAAGGGTCTGTTTTCAATACTTGAGGAACTATTTAGTTATGTACCGACAATAGCATGTATAATCCAAACAAAAGAGTATTAGAAGGATTAAATTATCCATACTTGACAAAATACCAAACTTTTGAACCAATGTATTCTGACACTCAGAATCGTTATATTTCGTGTACATTTATCAAATACCTATTAATATATATATACAATATACATACATAAAGGTCCGTGGTTCCCCTCTTCTTGCGTATAAACATTTACGCGGGAAAATTTAAATTAATATTTATTTTGTTATTCGTAATTTCCAGTTATATACTAAATTTCATAATACTTAATAATTAACAATTATATCATTTTTTAAATTACTATTATTCTTAATATCGTCTTAATTAAGATTTCAGAACTCATGCTTTCCCTATATCATCATTTTTCCTGAGAAAGTCTAATTTGATCGCAAATGTACTCTAAAAGTTTCCTTTTTTAGTATCTAAATGCTTGCTAGTTATAACTCATTTCTTAACGACGATTATCATCGCTCATAATTGCGAAAGGGTTAATGCTTGAATTAACGAGCAAAAGAGGATATCAAAGCGTCATGGTCAAGGTAGAAAAGTTAAACGAAGATTAGGAACGTTAAGTCGTGGAGTACGTTAAAAGCATTCGTCAGCTCGTTCGAAAGAGATTTTTCGGGGTTGGTTTACAGCAAATAGTTACAAGGAAAATAAAACATGGAATAGCCCGCGGGCTAACGCAGCTCGTTTTTACACGTGTCTGCAGATTTTACGGCGTGCGCAGACGACTCTCGTAATCTACGCGTGGCAGAAGAGAGAGAGAACAACGAAGAGATGGGTAAGCTCGGAATGGGCGAAGAAAAAGGGAGATTGTATAAAAAAAAAAAAAAAAAAAAAACGCCAACACGGATCGTAGGGTGTTAACGCGTGCATTAACGGAGCTTTCGTCGGGGAAATAAAAAACGATATGCATGGATGGACGGTGGATTTTCGCGCCGATCCTAAAAAATCTGCCAGGTGAAAGAGCACGAGCCCGTGAAAGTGAATCAAAACGCCTTGTTCTCTCATTTTTTTTTCCCTTTTGCTCTGATGATGTCCCTTTGTCAAAACGGAGAATGAAGAAGAGAGTCGATGCCGATTCGCTTTGCTTTGCCTTGAATGAATGAAAATCCGTACTATGTTTAAGAGTTTTTTCATTTTTTGTTCTCTCTTTTTTTTACACGCCTCTGTTTCCTGATTGAAAAGAAGGATCGATTGATTTTTCAAGGGAAATCGAGCAAACGAACGCAGCTAAAAATTGCATTGTTTACGTTCAATTACTTAGGAGAGTAGCTACTCTGCAATAAACAAGATTACCAGTCCAATGAAATATGCAACCGCTTCGAGTTTGCTTAATTTCATTCGCGATCCTCGGTGTTAGCATTCCTACTCGTTCTTCTTCGTTCGCTTTTATCATTGCCAATTCCATGGAACCGTTGTTAGATTGTGTAGGGTAAAATAAACATTAGAATTGTTTACTAGAAACACGAATTCTTTATTTTAACAAATTTCGACTCTGTAATTTATACATATAAATAACTACTTACGCATGGGATATTAATATTGTAAGGTAATAAGATTCTGGTTCGTTCGACGACGTTCGAATTTTGTATTTTTTTAAATTGTGCTGCATTGTGCTACGTTTGTGCCGCATTGTGCCGTAAATCGCAACTCTATAAGTCAAAGCGTACATACTCAAGGAGATAAAAAAAAAAATTTTGTTAGCCCCGCACTTTTCGAATTTTGAGTTTTTCTTTTTTGTGCAGTATTGTGCTATGTTTATGCTGAATTGTGCCGCAAATGAGAGACCGATAACATCAATAACAATTAAGAAAAAAAATAAAAACAAAGCTATACTAGCCCTGCATTTTTGCCGAAACAAACTTTTTTTTCTTTTAGAAAGGTGATGATAACTTGTGCTACGTTGTGCCGATGGTTGACACTCGATATCTCTATTCATTTTGTAGATAAAAAATGTTGAATTTTTAGGAATAAAAGATCTAATATTCGTATAACTTGCGAACGACGACAGATAATCGAATTCTGCAAGTTGTGATGAATTGTGCTACTTACAATCTGCGAGACACATGCGTTAAAAGTTGAAATTAGTTTGAGGGTCAATAAAAATTAACAAAAATGGGTGGGGGTGATTCAAAAATTTGATATTTCCAAATTTTCTTTGATTATGCCTACAACTTTTCCTAATGACAAAATTTCGTTAGATCGCCAGTGTATTTACGAAAAGTGTATTTTTGTGAACCCCGTTTTTGCCGATAATGTCAACGCGCTACTATTACCCGTGTCTACCCCCTTATATTATCCGTTCAGACACGTAGCGTTTCCGTTCAGTTTGATTAAGACAAAAGGAATGTAGTATTTATATCAGTTCATGTTCGACAACGACAGATAACGAACGTTAATGGTCATCGTTCGAAAATGTTTTCACATTTATCTTTAATAGATTTGTGCTGCATAGCATTATTATTAGATGAAGAGAAAGAGAATAAGAAAAGAAAACGACGTTTTGGGATTTATCAAATGTTAAAGAAAAGAAAGATTTGTGAAGAATATTGGAATTTTTATCTTCTTGTTCGAATAAAAAAGTATAGTTTCTCACAAACTCTATCAGTTTTTCGTTTTGCATTATAATAAGTTGCTCACACGTCTGTTCTGTCGCAAGATGTTGTCTGAAATGAACGGGTATCAAACGATAGCGTCCGTTCGGTTGCGATCCATCACGGTTGTATATATAAACACTCGTGTTTAATAACACAAAACAATATTTGTCTAAACCGAACTGAACGGAAACGCTCGGTGTCTGACCGGATAAATCGATCTTTATGCGTCTTGGAGGACCGACATTTTTAAAAACGATACTGCGATCTCAGTCTATATTCTATTATTATTAACTTGGAAGTATAAAAATATCTTCGAACCTGTCTCGGTCGCCTACAAATGATTTTTTAAAAAATATACTTTTAAAATTTCATTATCTAACAGTACCTTGTTTAGAAAACTTAAAGGAAATATTTTCAAGAAAATGGTTGAATACGACCACCAGGAGAATGTAAGAAGCTAAAACAGAATCAAAACGATACAGGATTGTTATTAGCGCTCGCGTTTACTTCGAAGCCCTCGGCTAAAATACAGTTCTTCTTCTCTCTTTCTGGTAAAAGGAAACGCGCGTTATACATCGAAACGCAATCAAATAAACGAGCAAGTGCTTCGGAGCAATGCTTTGTTTCGCGAATTTGCTCGTGTAATCGGCAAACGAGAGTAACATCCGAGAATTGAAACGCAGTTCAACCGTCTAATAAGTTCTGGGCCAAGTTCTTTAACCCTCAAAATAACCTAACCCTTTTCCATGAATCATATTGAAAACAGAATAATTCTTCTATAACGATACTTTTATCAAAAATTAAGTTTTAAATTGGTGTGATATAAGTGTCATTACAAGGTAGAAATTTATTACATCATAAAAGTAATTGAAGATATAAAGGATCGCATGACATTCAAGTGTCGCAAATTTCCTATACAAAATTCAAGAGCAGTAGGTGTATTAATTTCTCTCTGGAGAATTTGTTGAAAGAAAGAAAAATCGTATTCAGTCGCGTCAGCTCGTCGAAGATTAAAATCGCGTTGAATCTTTTAAAAGGACGCCAGCTAGACCCCGGGAGAAATCGAGAAAAATTGACTTCCTCGTTTCGACAGGATACAGGATACAGTTTCAGAAACAGCTTTAAATATTTGCTCGACTCCGGGATACATAGAAACGACGTAACGACCGCAATATTTCGGTAAATTTCGCTGGCAAGTATTTGACCGGGAACCGGGTCGATCGCCTAGGATTAATAAAAATAAATCCGAGATTATCCAGCCATCCTTCTCCCTCTCTATCTAGATTGATTTCCATCCTGGTTATCTAGTCATTTTTCCACGCTTGCCACCGATAACGAACGATTCACTTTTTTTTTTTCCAAACAACAAATAGACCTGACGCTTTTTGCCGTCGCCGATATACCTGTTTCGCTCGATATGCAATATATTTTTTTTTATTAGTTAGAGGTAAAAGATAAATCCATCCAGCGTAGAGAGAAACAAATTGTCGTGTTTGTATCACTTTTTATAAATTGATAAGAAGTAAATCATTTTGTTTCTGAAGGATTACTATACAATAGATTAATGGCCACATGCTTCATGGAATCTATGATTCATGCAATTTTTATACGATTTTTATATCTAATAAACATTGTTGATATAATCGTGTTTTAGGACTCGGTTTAACATATCAAATTATTAATTTTCAAAGTGCAATTAGTACCTGATAAAAAAAATAAAAATAAGGCGTAAATTAATGGCGTTGAAGTGATAATAAAAGAAAAAATATTTCAAAAAAGTTTTAAATAAATATGATTAATATTATCTTTATCTTCTATCTATATATATAAAAATGAATGTTCCTTTGTTTGTCCCGTTCCTGCACCATTCATCCGATTGCAATGAAACTTTTGTGAGTTGTGCGAACGTCCGCGAAGGTTTCTGTGCGTGTATTGCGTGTATTTCATTTATCGCATTAAATTGAAGACCACGCAAACGAAGTCGTGGGCAACAGCTAGTATTAAATAATACGAGGCTGAATCCTTTCGATTCGATCATTTCTCGTTTGGATTTTATTCTTTTTTTGTATTGCCTAAATAAAGATTATTCTGTATGTTGCTGTTGTTACTTGTCAATAGTTAGTAATGCAATTTAATGCACAAAGGGCCAGAAACATTCGCAGAGGACAGACTACTGTCGAGAGGATGAAATTACACTCTACAGCAGTCGACATGTGAATAAATTATATTTCCTGACAAATTGATGAATTTATAAACTTTTATGATTATAATTAAATTTGTCATCTATAGTTTCGAACAGACATTAAATAAAATCAAACAAAACTAAAGGTGCATCAAACGATGCAATCTGTTCTAAAAGGCACATATCAACATTGAAATAGAAAGCTTCGTCGCTATAAGCAACGGCTCGTTATCCTCCATATTTAAACGCTTTTGTTTGAATATTGCGGTTCGAACAGCTCGTAAAGTTGAAATGCACGAGGCGTGACAGGGGGATGGAAGCGATCGTAATTTTCTATCTGGTCCCAAACCATCTCCGGGACAAGGACGCTTCAGCCTGCATCTAATCGCACGCATTATCGCGTAAGCGTGCACTCTCCATCGAACCTCGTCGACTGTTATCGTCGTTATTGACGGGAACCACCTCGTAATTACGCGAGAAACGTCGATAGAACGAGCCCCGAGCCGGGTGTGAAGTAGCTCAACTAAATATTTCCAATACACCCGTTGCACGCGGGATTATTACTTTCCTCCTTGTTCCGTACCCTCACCATACCTAAGTGTTCGATACACTGCTGCATTCGATACGATCTTTCACGAAATTTGTATTTCGATTGGAATCGACTACGAAGGATACCTTCGATTTTCACCAGTGATGAAGAGAAACAAGGATAGGGGATCTGTCACCTCTTGAAATTGAAACCTGGGATGGGGTGGGATGGCTTTAACACTTAACTGATATGGTAGAATACAAACACTACTGAACAATGGCAAATAAGTATTCGATATCACAGGATATTTTAATACTATTCTCATTTCAAAAGAATCTACTTTGGCTATTAAGATACTTAACTTTTATACGGAGAACTACCCAAGTGTTACACTCACTTATTAATGAAACTTTGCCAGCATGTAGAGCTCGTCGAGCTGAAGTATGACAAGCACATACAACTCACAATCTAGAGATCCACGGTTCAAATCCTTGGTTCTCAACATTTTTTTTTTTTTTGTAATGATAATTTGTCTCGTTTTGAATAACAGTTTCATAAAAATTATCATTAAAAAAAAAAAAAAAATTGGGAACCAAGGATTTGAACCGAGGACCTTTAGATTGCGAGTCATGCGTTTAACCACGGAGCGGATCTATGACTCGCAATCTGACGGTCCTCGGTTCAAATCCTTGGTACCCACTTTTTTTTTTTTTTTTTTTTTAATGATAATTTTTATGTAATTGTTATTTAAAAAGAGACAAATTATCATTACAAAAAAAAAATGTTGGGAACCAAGGATTTGAACCGTGGATCTCTAGATTGTGAGTTGTATGTGTGAGTTTGTCATACTTCAGAATGTAAGGAGTAACTAACTGTAATTGTTAATATCTTTTAAACAATTAGCCGTCTGCCCCCAAAAGGGGGCATAGGCGTGTTCAGCTCGACGAGTTTCATTAATAAGTGAGTGTAACATTTGGGTAGTTTCCCTTGTTAGTGTTATCTATTATACTTGACGGTATAGGGCATTCCTAGACCCCCTTCGCAGCAAAACTAATTGTAAGGTGTACGCGATCGAGACAGGTTCAAGGATAATTAAGGAATAAAAATTCGGTAATTATTCAGAAGTTTACTTTCCACTCCGATCTTAAAATTTTTTGGATATGTGATAGAGGGTGTAATTTAGAACAACTTTTTCCTTTTCAAGTATGTGGGGCCTCCTTTAGTTTTGAAAATACATGGGGGGACATCCCTTGGTGAACCGAGACGCTTCAGGAGGAAGCTGTGTAATATGATCTGAACTGTACTATTGGTGTGACTAATACTAATTCAACGATAAAACTTTTTTATTTATGAGTTTTTGGTAACTATTTAGATTACAGACGGTTTTTTAATTATCTTGTATATGCTTTTCTTAAATGCACGTCTAACGAATAGTTTCACTGTTCTCGGTGTCCGTCTGATTTCCTACCGTATGGTAGGTACGGCTGGTGCATCTCAAAGTCTACAGATTTTAGTCAAAAGATTAATATTTCGACCATCTTTAGGCGACGAGCCACGCGAGTCAGATGTGATAATTTGACTTTACAGTTCATCCGTTGTATGAATGGGAGCCGGACCACATGGTGCTGCTTAAAGAAACGGTAGGAAAATTAGTCGACGTATACATGGCCACGGATACATACGTATAGGCGGAATTCACTATAGTATTAATAAGATTTTTTCGCGAATATCTCGCATACTAATCGAGTCCGACATGTAGCTTAGAACAATAAAGTTACTTAAAATGTCGAATTTTACAAGATATTTAAAAATTATCAGAATCGGAAGAGGAGCGCCTTTTCTCCAAGTTCACCTTAAACAATTACGGATTATTCTGTTTATTTCAAAATTTGAACATCTTCTCTGGTCCACCCGTTCTGGTCCACTGTCCGACTTCCCAAGTTTCCGTCTTTTAGTTATGCCGCCGTTTGCATGTAGGCCACGCAGTTCTTGCGTTCGTTCCTGGTAAATCTTCGGAGGCTAGAAATTACCCCCGATGATCCTTGCGGCGACCTTCTCGTATTTCGAGGGGCCTGACAAGTTTGCGATATTTTGATCGCTTTTTAGTATAGAAAAAGACAGTGTCTAGATATTTTAACACCTTTATTTAACATATATACGTACCGCAAGGATGGCGTTGCGGACATGTACACGCAAAAATGGTAGTAACGTAATAACGAACGTAATGGCGGTGAAGACGAACGCAACCGCCTTCAGAGCGATCTGGCACCGGATCGGTTGCCGCGCGCCGATTGACTTCCGGTTAAGGGGGCAGACACGGGTAATAGTAGCGCGTTGACATTACCGGCAAAAATGGGCATAAACATGGGTTTACGCGCTTCCGTTATTCGTCCTTGTATGACAACATTTAGGGCTGGGTGAGGGCTTATTCGAAAGAGGAAGGTCCAATGCACACCGCTCAACTCATGTTTCAGTGGGATTATGTTGATGTTTAGTAATATAAGCGTCCAAAGAAGAGGTAAAAAATCGACAAAATGCATTCGCGGAATCGAAGCATTTTTAGGCCACTAAAAGAGTGCTGTGATTGAAATCATGAGTTGAGCGGTCTAGCCACAACCCTTACCTGTAAATTAAGATCTATTTTGTCTTTATTTGTTGCGAAATAAGGACGAATAACGGATGCCCGTAAAAGCATTCTCACAGACCAGTTCCGCCATTTTGTGGATAATACAGAGCAATTCATGTGACAAATTCAGTTCAGCTATTAGTTATAAGGTGGCGTCTAACTAAGAAGGCTGCCGATTTGGAATCGTAGCCAAAATCAGGCGTTAGCTTGGTTACATCACTCGACTGAAGGCAAGCGAAAGCAAGCGAAAAAGGCAACAACGCCGAGTGAGACGCACTACAGTCATTTTGTCCTTCTCTCATTCTGAATGTTGAGATTGTCCCTTTTCGCTAGATTTTGACTGACGCCCGCCTGGATTTTTCACAGCACCCTATAACAAACCTCGCTCAAAAAGGAGGTATAACAAGAGAAGATTATACCTCCTCTTTGCAATAATTCTGCAAACGTTTATAAAAGTTGTATACGGGATATTTATTTATTTAAATTATTTGCATTCACTCAGAATATTGACTCCTTTATATTTTTTATTAGTTTCGTAAAAACAAAGTTACTATAGGTTTCTCAAAATACAAGCGTCACGCAATTGGGACGAGTTATATCTTAAATTTGGTAAGAGATAGGAAAAAACTATTGATGTAAAAGTTGAATTGATAAGACATATGAAAAGTACGAGATATCTCACGAAATATTAGTTTTTTAAACATTGTACTGTTAGATATAGGCGCATCAGCAAAATAGTGAGAGGGAATTTAAGGACCCGGAGTAGCCAACAGATAAAAAATGGTAACTTGCTGTTCAACCAATTCGAACGGCTCGATCGATCCCAAATTCGGTACAGTTCCCTTCACAGAATCTCAAGTCGCGACCCAGAAATCCGTTTCAAACATTGCCTCACTGCGATCCAGGAATCGGCGGTACCCTTGTAAATCGGTTAAAGTCTATAAAAGATTAATTGTTTTTAACCTTTATAATCCTAAGGAAAATGGCGAAATAGGGGAAGCAGGAATCCTCAAAATTTTAATTTTGATATTAATATTAACCCTTTGCGGTTGAATGTCGCCATACAAGCGGCATCACATTTCTATTCATTAGGTCGATTGTCGCCGCAAAAGCGGCAAAAAATAATACCGTCACTGGGTATATTTTCCTATTTGCCAATACTAACGCTTTGGGTACATTTAATGCTTCAGTATATAATATCACATTATACAAAAACATATTCGACCCAGTGAAAAATACACCTGAAAATATTCTCGACCGCAAAGGATTAAAAGTTATTTCTAAACAAAATAATACGATTTTTAATTATTTAATTTTTTGAGGTATGTAACTGAAACGTACGAATTATACTGTAAATATTAATTCAAATTTTTCCGCGTAAGTGTTCATCTATACACTATTCACATATGTATAGGAGATCTGTCGCTCCATTGTCATTTTCCCTATGAAAACCACCGTTTTTCGCGGAAAAGCCTGATTCGATTACGGATGTACAGTGCTGCATTGATTAAAATTAGATAATTAAATTTTTAAAGAACATTCTTCCATAATATATTGGAAAATTAATATCGATAAAAGCAAAAAGAAATTTGCAAAATATGAATTAATGATATTTGTCCCTTATCAATTGGATAAACAAACAGAGAAACACGTAAAGGATGCAAGTAGCCCGTAGCACGGTTTCGGCGACACCGACGTCGCGTCGCGTCGCGACGCCCCGTCAATCATTTTGATTGAAGGTTCGAGCCAGCGAGGAATAACAATTTGCTCGAAATGACTGACGGCCGTAGTTGTCGGCCAGAGCTGATAACAAATCGAGACAAACATCTCTCGTCTTTACTCTCGTTCACACTTGCTAACGATCCTTTCTACCTTGCTATTTTCATGTTCACGACATTGTTCCATGCAGAGTTGTGTAGAATTACAATTGAATTACCTTGCGAATTATCATTACAAAGTAATTCAATTACATTGTATTCAATTATTTTGTAATTCGAAATTCAGTTGCTTCATTCAATTAAATTAAAATATAATTTGCAATTCTGGTCTGTTATTCAATTACGTTAAAATATAATTAGTTTTTACAATTGAAGTACAATTATAAAGTACAATGTAATTCTGAATTACATAAGAGAAATGCTAGGTGGAGAAAACGAAAAAGATTAGTATCAGTGATGAACATGGTATTATTCATAAATTCATAGTATGTGATCAGAAATAAACTTGTTTGTTACGTTCGTTTCAGAAATTTCCTATTTAATATGAAAAACCTCAAAAAAGAACATTCTTCGTGTGACACTAATTACTTATGAGGTCACATTCACTGATTATTATCAATCGTCAGCTAATTTTAAATTGGTTTTAATGAACACTCTTTGTTCAAACATCTTGTCACTAAGATTGGTCATCGTTGCATAAGAAAACATCCTCTCTACAGCAGCAGATGAAGGGAGAGGTGTATTGTACTGAATAAAAACTCATTTAATTGGTGCATATTTATTAAGCAGAAATAGTTCTTCCGATAGATCCTTGAAATATTGAAGCACACGGAGTTCAGCATCTAAAACTGTGATCTCTTCCTCTTCATTTGTCGCAGGAGAACTGAAATCAAAGAAGTTGCTGAAAATACACGACTTTCCCAGTTGACTAGATTGTGAGTGTGCATCCATCTGTTTACCAACAGCTGTTTTAAATGCGGCTGTCGTTCAGACTCAGAAATGTTTCAAATCTTTTTTCAAATGAAACCAACAAGCATTCCGGTAAAGGTCTGCAATAAACTAGGTGTTTCTTCTTCAGTTCATTTTTTCAATTTCCTTTGAACGACTACCAAACAAGGCAAGAAAATCCTGTAAAAAGTATTTTTATCATTTTGGAGAATGTCCAGAGCATCTGTAAGGGGGCGTGTATGTACACATGGTGTCTACGTAAAGTAGGTTGGCAGAAATACATTTGGTACTCGTAGCGATCTAAATAAGGATATCATTTTTACTTTATGTTGAAGTATTTGTTGTAGCGAATAGTAAAAGCTGTTCTACTTAGTTTCCATAATACAAACACATTTTATATTATTTCTGCCGATTTTGGGCGTTTCGATAATTTCCAAAGCGAATTGCATTTTCCTATCACCTTCTTATGTAATTCCTGAAGTTCCTTTTCACACTTGATAAAATTACTAAGATCAGTCGTAAGATACAGAGTAATAATATGAGCGACACATTTTAGATGCTTTGATAGAGAGTGTGGAAGGAGAATATCTATATCTTTATTGAACAAAGTATCTTTACCGTCACCGCTAATGCATTCGTTGTAGGTACAGTATTGCCTCGAAATAAGCAACTCGCTTGGGACCGAACAGTTGCTTATTACGAAGCAGGGATGCTATTCGGCTCGACGAATGAGAGATCGTCAAGATACGTCACTCGTAGAAACGAGTGAGAGATCCGAGGTAGCGGCAAACGGACCTCTCACTCATTTCTCGGACCTTTCACTTAGCGGGCCACTTGAAACAAAGAAGAGGGGATAGCGAGTTGCTTATTTCGAGGCAGAGACCACTTGCCTATTTCGAGGCAATACTGTACTTACTGTTTGGCAGATCACTCTAGTAATCCGAAACGGCGTGAACAAATTGTCATTTCTATATTCTTTTCTTTCGTTCCAAATTCTTTGAAGGGATTTAAAAAGTTGCTATCGTTGTCTGTTATTGTCGCTATAATTTTGTTAGTGTCAATGTTGAAGTCTTGGTTTATTTCATTTAATAATTCAGCAATTCCGATCTAACAAAGTATATGGGGGCTACGAAACCTCCGGGAAGCCAGAGTAACTGATTCTCTCTTCAAAGAATCGTTAATCCAATGATACGTTACACGTAGAAAACTCCTCCTTTTCGTGAACCATATGTCTGCTGTGGTGTAATCAAAGTCAATTTTCATTAGTTTTTCTCGAATTATACTATTAAACTTTTCATACAATTTATCAAATTGCCTAACTAGGGAGCGATTAAATTAAGTGTAAGGTTTGAATTATGTAATTCAATTACAATATAATTCAAGTGCTATGCAAATAAAATACAATGTGATTAAATTATGTAATTCAATTGTAATGTATTTCGATTAGCACAGTTCTGGTTCCATGTAATCAAATAAAAATAAAATAAAATCAAAACAAATTTATTTTTATACAGGGTGTATAAAAAATGATATTTACATATCTAGGTTGTTTTGTATGTCCAGAATAATCGTTACTGAACAATACGAAGTGAACTATACATTGATTGATTCATTGTTCTTTAATGAGGAACTGCACAATTTATACTAAGAACGTTGACAAAATATTTATATAGTCTTTTTCACTAAATCTTAAGCTTTAAATTAATATATCACAAGAAATCGCATTAGATTTTCTACGTTTCAAAATTCCACTGTTTTCCATAATCGACAATCAGTTATTTTGTATTAAGAATAATAATAATAAAGCTTATATGTAATATTTTACGCTTTGAATTGATATGCCATAATTGCCATTCTTCTTTGTTATAAAATCGTAGTAAATTTTCTTCGTTCCAAAATCCATTAATGTTTGGTATAATTAGTATTCGGCCATTTTGTATTAATAATACGAATAAAGCATTTATGTAGTCATTTTTATTAAACTTTAAGCTTTAAATTAATATGCCACAGGTGTCATGTCATGAAATCACGTCACATTTAAAAATCAGTCACTTGATATGCACTCATCTATTTAACCCGAATAGAA